AGACTCACTGCATCCGCAGATACTCTGCAAACATGAAAACAAACCACGGCGTCAAAAGAAATCATGCATTAGAAACAAATTACGGTCTCTAAATGCATCTTGGCGATGTAATTGATACACTGAGAGGATGTGAACTAATTGAAAAAGCAGGGGGGGACATGCAGGATAAATGGCTAAAATAGAAAGCAATGAACACGTGTAAATAAGAGCCACAATCGATAAATATAAATTACGGTGTGACAAACTGTAAATAATCAGAGCATTTCGGGCCTGAAATGTGATCCTTCTTCAGGGAGAACTTGGGTTAGTAAATCTGCAAAAGCCTTAGAGAAGGAAAGACGAGGTTATCAGGGCTCTTTGAACTGGCAGATACGATGGATTAGCCCCTGGATTCATTACTCACAGACTTCACCAGCAGCGTGGAAGTAAGATGCGTTACCAGCCCACTTCCCACCTCCATCCCAATGTACAATTGATCCTGGCAGGAGTGATGCCACCAGCCTTTCTCGCACCACTATAGATAGATTAAAAAATAGGGATGGCATTTATCTTCCCTAATTTAGCCATGTAGACGAGGCTTTTGATGGCTAACTCTTGTCTCTTGATTCACTCCACTTTCCCCCTCTGTCCCTGATGTCTCAGAAAGCCTTGTGATATTCAGAAGTAAGTGGTCACTGTTCCTAGCTTTGTCTGCAGGTGCATGCTTTCGAGGCAGTTTTTGCCCAGCATGTAGAATTTTAACCCTTCTCTTTGTTTGCAGGTCCTAAATCCTTTCCAGATTCCCGGGATTAAATTCTTATCAAGACCAGCCTATGCCAAGACACCAGTGCAAACAGGACTGCAGCCTGGATTAGGGATGAGGCTCATCCAGCCACTGCTGCAGAGCTTATAAAGCAGTCAGGTATCAGCGCTGAAAATGGACCCAGCAGTGTGGGAGGAGATTTGGAGTGGATGATGGCAGCAGTTTACACCCTGACCTCCTGGGTGACTCTTGACTTCTGAAAACCAAGGTGAGGGATGACACTTAGACCTTCATTTGCTGCCCCAGAATGTGGTTGCTTTGTCTTAGGATGGCTTTATGTCATGGCACAGAGCACAGCAGGAAGGCCCCTGCTCACCCGCTCTCCATGGGTGGACTAAATCCCTGAGTGTTTGGTGAATCCCAGAGCAGTTTGGGTTGAAGGGATCTTAAAGCTCATCCATGGGCAGGGACACCTTCCACTAGAGCAGCTTGCTCCAAGCCTGTGTCCAACCTGGCCTTGAACACTGCCAGGGATGGGGCAGCCACAGCTTCTCTGGGCACCCTGTGCCAGCGCCTCAGCACTCTCACAATAAAGAATTTCTTCCTCATATCTAATCTAAATCTCCCCTCTATCACTTTAAAGCCATAGCCCCTTGTCCTGTTGCTCCCTGTCCTTGTAAATAGCCCCTCTCCACTTTTCTTGTCAGCCCCTTTAAGTACTGGGAGCTTCTCTAAGGTCTCCAGAGCCTTCTCTAGCAACAGCCCCAGTTGCTGTGGGTTTATGTCTAATTAGATGTAAGTGGATTTGTTTTCTAGGCAAAGATTGCCCCCCTCCACCTTGCTGCTGGCTTGCAGACTGTATCACATGCTCCATATTTAGGAGCAATAAGAAGAAAAGCAATGATGTTAAAATACAAACTGTTGTTGGTGGCTATTCCCACAGATAGTCCTATCCCCTTCAGTAGCATGGAATCTATCACTTTATGCCTTACCTCAGCTGTGACTGCTCCTGCAAAGAGACGTAGGTCACATCGTGTTGAACGCAGTGCCTTTGAGAAGAGCTCACGGTGCAGTTTTCAGGTAACAGGAGGGAAGAAGGGTGGCTTTGCCACTTCATTTTATAGCCATGCTGGCACTCACACGTGGCCAAAAGTGGTAGAAAATGTCCCTAACTAAAGCTGTCTGCGGGGTTGCAACCGCTCTGGGTGATGTAAGTGATGGCTGGGGTGTGAAGCAGGAGAGGCAGCCTTGGAGTTCACAAATGCAAGGAACTGCTGCTAGGGAAAGGGAAAAAGGGGGACAAGTTTAGAAGCTTGGAGCACAGGTGAAGACAAGGCTCACCCACCACATCCTGCATCTTTCCAGCAGCCCCATTAAGTTAGTGCTGTGCCATAACTTGCACCGCAGAGCCTGGGGGAGATGGAGCAGCCGAAGAGTCCTGACTTTATCGCAACCCTACAAGCAATGGGCTGGGACATAGCCGTGCTCTCTGGTTTAAGAGAGGATTTCATGAGACTCAATTAGCAGTGTTATTAATTAATCAATTATGTAAAGCAGATGAGCAATCAGATCCCCCATTCTGCAGTGATTCAGCTCATTGTTAAAACTTAATTAATACCCAGGCTTGGGGACAAAATAAGGATAAAATAAAGGCAGAAAAAACCCAAACCCTACGGAAGAATCCGTCAGGGAAGAATGATTTCAGCTGAGGATGGAAACTGGGCTTGAGACCAGTCAGGATGACAGCCCCGCTCTGAGAGGGTATCAGAGTTATACTGGGTACTTTGACAACCAGCCCCATGTTTGTCTGTACCACTGCATCCAGCTGAGCCAAATTGGGCTCCTGCTTGCCAACATAAATCTATGGCAATTTCACCTGTATAACAGAACAGTGCCCACCTTCCAAAGCTGGCCGATGGCTTATGTGACAAGAGAGGCGTTCAGCAGATGTATTTAGTTGCACACCATCTCTTCTGGCTGTAGCAGTAGGAGTGGAGGTGAGTGCAGCGTTAGTGTCATTCACAGCCACAAAAGCTTGTTGTAGTGTTGGATTCTTATGTCACTTGTACCAAAAGCAATGGGAATATCGATCTTTTGCAACAGCCCTTTGTAACTCCAAGTATCGCAGTAGCCTACATTAATCTGTGAAAACCTACATCTTGTTACAGTCTCAGCTTTCTTTAGTTTTACTTTAGGCTAGTAGTTATTTAGGTCAATTCTTTGCCAGATGTGATAAATTGAGACATCATCTGTGATGGAACAAAGCTGTGTCTGCATGCTCCTAGTTGTAAGATGCTTACTTAAATAGATTTGCATTAACAGGATTTGTGCTATTCAGCATAGAAAACTCAGTGTCGGAAACCTGCAAGTCTCTCAGAACCTGAAAACAATGTCAGAGGTAATATGTTAACAAAGCATACAGCAGTCTGCTTCTGGACCTCTTTAAAAATATGCTCTGGGGGTGATTTTTCCCCCATGTTTAAGGGCCAGATTGCAAATGCATTGCCTGGGAACGGAAATAGAGTCATGCTCCAGCAATGATTTTTATTGAGTTAACTATAGATGAGAAAAGGCAGTTGTTAGTACCTGGCAAAGACCCTGCATTCTTTACAAACTCTCTCTGCCCAACCCTTTAGTGTGGAATTGCAGGAATTTATAGTGAAACATGAAAGATGCTGATCCTCAAGACCAGTAGCTGCCAGATACAGTATTTCTTCCTATATCTGTTATCAGCAGAGGGGCTTCTTGCACAGCTACAGCTGGGAGGGTGGCTTCATAGCCATCGAATGCACACAATTAGAGCTTTTTACATACTTCTGCCCCATTACCAGGCTGATACAGTGCTGGCAAAACCTGACTGTGCTCCTGGCCGTGCTCTTCCCTTCCTCCAGAGTGCCACAAAGTGGGTTTTTTGGTCCTAGTTTTCATGGATTCATTTCAAGCAGTTACTAGGTATGGCACACAGGGGACAGGGCCAGCCCAGCTTGTAGCAGGAACCAGCCTCTGCAGTTTATGGCTTGTGATGGGCTGATCCTGAACTGCTCAAATCAGTGGGAATTTTCCGCTGAGGAATAGCAGGCTCTAGCCTGAAAGCAGTGGGTAGGGGTGCTGTGCCCATGCACAGCGGGTCTGTCCCTCTCTTTTGCAGCTCACCTAAATATATATGTTTCACCATTTCCTTTTGCTTTTTTCCCCCAACACTGCCTAAAGCCTGCTCTTCGCTCTGCCTCCTCCTCTGAAATAGATGGTCTAGTTTCAAAGATGGGAGTGCTCAGAAAGTCAAAAGCTTATTAATAGCTCGCAGCCTCCTTTTTAATCTATTCAAAAAGCCATAGAGTGTGCAAAGCTGTTGTGACATGACTTCTCTTTTTAATATCTCACCCTTAGACTGCCAGTAGTTAAGGAAAAATGAAACTAATCATCAGTGAAGGCTGTAATGCTGCTGCCTTACAGCTGGTGTGGAGCCCAGTGGGAAGTTTTATGGGAGACTCTATAAGACTCACTGTGTGTATGTGTTCGTGGATCTCACAGCGGAGGCTTTGCAGACCAAACCCAGGCAGTACAGTCATCAGCAAAATGGTATCAGTAAGGTAAGGGAAACATTTACATACAGCAGGAAAAAAAGCCTATTTGCAAAAGGTTAATCTTGTAATTTTGTCATCTGTGCCCCTTTCAATATTGCCCTTCAATATTGGCCATACAGAGGAAATGACACCTTTAACTCTGTAATTAGAACTGTACTAATGTTGGCTGTTTAAATTAGCTAATAATATTAAAGAGGAGCTCTAATTTAATAACAGAGACATAAACCCATGTATTTCTGAGTGAGGATGGCTTCCCACCTATTATATTCAGTATAATTTTGTCTTCATTTATACTGTAGATAATGGCCACTGCAGAATGGGGCTGTGTTTACAGCATTGGACACCTTCAGAAGAGACAGGAAAACAACACACTTTGCAAACTGAGGAGGAAACAAAACTTAAGGCTCCCCCCCCAGCCAGTTCCTTAAGAATCAATCTGAATGTAATTTGAAAAGTTCTGATTTTGGTACAGTTATTACTTTCCATTTGGAAAATGAAAATGCATCTTCTTAAGAGACTTCACAGTAACCTTGCAGATGATAGCTGCCATTGGGCAGAGGTATAAGGTATAAACCAAGTACAGAAGACCATCCATTTCCATGTACATTGATTCAAGGCTCTGCAGCGTGCTTGATCCCCAAAGTGCAATAAAATTCAGGACAGGCAATAAGGAGTCACAGACAAATTAAAATTTATTGAGACAGACGAAAATGCAACTATTCCAGACTACAGTTAAGCATTTACAGTTAACCAAAGATAGCCAAATGCTCACATTCCACTGAACTCCTTATGGAAAAAGCATTCAGAATTTACTATGCAATTCTACTTACTATGGTAGTCTACATCCATCTACAGTAGGGACATCAAACTGAAACACGTAATATTTGGATCTCTCCTTACAGATCTACACATTTAACAGTAACGGACATCAACAGCATTGAGAAAAGTATAAAAAGACCAAAACCCACCTACTGTAGAAAGGGCTTTTTGATGTATAGTAACTGTACAAAGCGGTCTATGTATGAAAGGAACTTGAATGGCATACAGAAGGGACTGCAGGAAAAGCCAACCAATGTAGGAAGCTAAGCTGGATCTGGTGGTCTGTATCAAGAGGTGACCTCAGATCTACGTCATCTGCTGCTTGAGGGGAAAAATGCTACAAAACTTCTAATATCAAAATATTCCCATGCCAGAAATGTACACTGAAACTAACAGACTAGGCTGGAGAGGCAAAGAGAAGCATTCACTAACAAACAGTGTTGCTTTAAATAGAAACTTTACATTTTTAATATAAACTGTAGAATAAATATTAAATAAACATTTCAAATGAATTAAAATAATAGCAGAGAATAGGTTAAAAAAAAAGGCAAAGAAAAGGAAGAGGATTCTTTGTGTTCACAGCAAAGACAGTAATGACCCAAAAAACCCCAACTGTGCTGAAATCTGAACTGTAGATTTTGATTTAACCACAATAGTTAAAAGAAACCTAAAGCAATACCTAACAGCATTTCATAGTCTCTAATATGAAAAGAAAACGAGATTAAAAATTGGTTTGTGTCTCTAAAAGAATGGGACAACTCTGATTTCATTTCTCACAATGAGCAAATGCTTGGAAGGTTAATGACTTGATGCAGATGGGAAGTCTTGCTTTGCAGAAAGCAAAAGCAAAAGCAAGGAATTAAATTAAGCTGGAAGCAAATTAAATCCTTTACAAAGCATGAAGAATGAAAGGGGCCTCATCTGGAAGAGCACTGGCTCTTGGTAGAATTGCTGGTTTCTTTTGAAGGAATAAAACATTGTCCTAATGCAGCTTCCCCAATGGGACACACGCATACACACATATATGTGTATAAATGTATATATACACACACATATACACACACAGATGCATCTATAGGCTGCAGATCCTGCAACCACTGCAGGATGCCAGTGGATCACAGAAGGGTTTTGCTATATAGCCTTGTAATATGTGGGAACTTGCTCTTAAAGCAATCTACAGTCTGAGCTGCCCTCCCAGGCATGGCAGCTCATCTGCTCTGCTCCAGCCTAAGACCCTTTACACCCTGTGGTTTGACACTACTCTCTTTAAACTCTTTGTAGTTGTACCCAACTGAGCTACTCAATAAAATGGTATTTTTCCAGTGCTGGCCCTGATGCAGAACACTTGCACAAATGAGGCAGGTAACTGAATGATTACTTGGCCTGGGGCACTGTCCTGCATCTGGGCCAGGGGGCTTAAAACATACTTGTGTGTGTGTGTTTGCCTCTGTATAAAGGGAAATGAGCTACCAGAGATCAGCTGAACCACCCAAGGCATCTCTTGCCTGCACGGTGCTGTTTGACTGGATGCACAGCATTGAGTTGGTGAGTTTGAGAGACAGTAATTGTGTTAACAGTTTTAACATAAAGACATAAACCCTTCCAGCTCTGATTTGGCATAGTTGCATGTGAGAGATTACAGGTAGGAGAGGCTCAGTGGTGTTGAGAAATGGATGGTGGTGGCATGTCTGCTCATGTAAGCTGAAGAATGGCCACATTCACTTTTAAAGGGTTATTTAACAGCTTTTCTTTAAGCATCTTGCACGTTTGCACGTGACACAGATGGGCTGCAATCCTGGATCCTAGAGCTGCCTGCAAGGGCTTGGTTAGCCAGGCTTTACCCTGGTGAGGGGCTGGCTGAAGGGATTTACTGTGTGGTCTTTGAAGTAAGGCATAGCTTCAGGATAAGCTGTTGCAAAGGGACACAGGACTGCAGAAAACAGTTGTGTGGAGAAGAAGTCCAGGCAGGAGGATGAGCATAACGCTACCGATTGTGGACTTCAGTTCTGTGTCAAGGGGAAATGGCAACCCTGTGCCTTAGGCAGGTCCTGCACAGGACACCAGAGCTGCACCCAGAGTACGGGTTTAAGTAATAGAATACCAGAAGGCAACCAGCCAAGATGTTTGAGAAGCGACTGATGGAGTTCAAATGCTTCTCACAGAAACACACTACTTAGGGAAGCAGAAATGTTGGTTATATCTGATTTTGAAATAAATTATCAAAAGTGATAGGAAACCCACAGGGATCTGAGCAGGGCAGATCGCAGGCCACTTGCGAATGGCTGTGATGGCAGATTTTTGGGAGGATGCAGGGGCATGACACAACAGACAACAAATTCCTCATGATTTTACACATCCTTCTGCATTAACAACAATTATGCGGGCTTGATCTCTGCTCTGGGGTCATTGATCTAGATAAATAGGAAATGAAAGAGGAGAAACCAACTGAGCCCCTGGAACACATGGTGTCTGAAAGGAGTTCCTCTTTGTAGTGCTCTTCTGACCACGTCTGAAAGCAGACATCCTACACAGAGGGCTGAGGACCACAGCTCTTGGGCCAGTGTGTGCCTAAAACATTGTCTTCTGCCAAACACATGGTATTTTCCTGCTTTTGAGTGAATATGTAACCAGCCAAGTGTTGGCTCCATACTGTCCCCACCTCTAACCAATACTAACTCAGAGGGAAAAGGTAAATCAATCTGATTAGTTCTCTGTGTAATAAGCACGTTTTCAATTCTGCAAAATAGCTCTTAGGCAAATCAAAAGCACTGCTAAAATACTTACATCTTGCCACTTAATGCAAGAGTGGGGTTAAGGTAGCTCCTTCTGTCTCTGAAAACAGCAAAAAGAACACAAGGTCACCACAGTACATTACTGCGTCAGAACTGCAATGGGAAAGGACACAGAGAAGAATTTAATGTCAATATGCTGTGATATAACTGAAGAGCTATGAATATGTGACATGCTGAAGGGATCACAGGTTGTATTTTTAATACTCTTTCACGTGTGTTTATTACAAGTGTGCAGCTTGTCACACTGAGCACAGGGTTATGCTTTTGAAACATGATCACCTAAAGTTGCCTTTTAAAACAGGCCAAATAAATATTAACTATTGAAATTAAAGAAATGACAGCTTATTACTTTTGATGGTTAGTGCCTGTGACAGCTTTATAACACTGGAATGAGGCACTGCTAACAGAAAATGAAGAACAGGCAGATCTATAGCGTGTGAGCAGGAAGCAGAGGCTGCCTGCGCGATGTTAGTGCCACTCTTAGCGCAAATGAGTTTGGACGGAAGCTGAGGAACAGATATGGAGGTGGTTATGATGCTACAAATTCACAAAGCACTCTAAAGGAAAGGCAGATGGACTCGTTCCCTGCCTGTAGGGTTTGGCCCGTTACAGCTGCAGGCTCTCAGCATCTCTTATGATCAAAGCTGTGTTCCTTAATCAAATAAAGTGTTAGTGAGCTGGTCTATGCTCTGGTGGGTGCTTTGCCTGTTGGATTCATTCTAAGACAATGTAAAGAAGAGAAAATCCCAACAGTAGGTTTTTTTTCTGGATTAAATCCCTGGTGCTGGGCTGCCAGAAGTCACTATCCAAAGCGACTTCCTCTTTACTGGAATGTAACAAACATGGACTAGAAAATGAGGCACCTACATTTCAGAAAAGAAAAACAAGTGTTTCTGATATGATCCAGGCAACAATTTATGACCCAAATTCCTTAACATGAGAAGGGTTTCTAAGCTTTGTACTGGTTCATTGAGCCCCTTCTGCAATTCTTTTTTCACAGGATCTATCTCATAAGCTGTGCAAGTGAGGATTAAGACATGAAATGTTTTTGAAACAAAACTCATTGCCCCTGTGGATAGAACAAAAATGCCCCAAACCAAGTGAACAAAAGCCGTATTCCAAACAGTCCTTGCTGGGGAAAAAAAAGCTGTCTCCTAAATTAAATAGACTATACAAAATTAAACTCAGTGGAGAGGGAATATTTGTGCCAGGTACTCTCAGATACAATTGCAGAGATATGATATGACTTGCAATATTGTGCAAAACGTGAGTCCTCATTATGATGGGCACTACCATATATAACCAATTTCATCATCCTTATCATCGTCTTCATCTTCATCGTCTTCATTAGCTGCTCTTACATGAACCTTCACTTTCCCTTCTTTGCCTTTCTTTGCTGCTTCAGGTTCCTCTTCCAAATCATCCAACAATACAACAGATCCACCACTGCCAAAATCCCCTGAGGTTTCTTGTTCTTCTTCTGAAACAGGTGAGCAGGAAAGGTCATTCCTTCACATGATACCACATCCCTTGTTCATTACTACCCTTGTCATCCAAGCCACTATCACTTGCAACATTACTTGTAAAATTCATTGGTTTAAGTATTCATGAAACAATCTCTGAATTTAAGTTTTCATCCTGAATTGGGGATAAATTTAAATCCATTCACTCTGAAACATACTTGCATAAAAAAACATGTATTGCCCTCCTCTTATAGACTTGACTGGAGAGCCTCAGTTTCCATACATGCAGGCCAGAAAATCATTGCTCATTTGTAAATACTCTCATCCCATTGCAACTCTATAAACCAGGCTAAAAATATCCCACAGAATGATTCCATTTGACTGCAGAAACCAAGCTCTGCAAATGTAGCTTTTGAGCCTAACATCTGTGGTGTGATTCTGGGCATCTCAGACCTCGTAGGTTCCCCTTTCTGCAGCCACAACCATCGCTGAAGCACCGAAGGAATGCAGCTGAGCTCTTGCCTGCCTAGGTGAAGGAGCTAACGGGTGCTCTCACATGTGTAAATAACAGTGCCCTGACAGCCATTTTATTGGGCTTGGTTATTAATTTATAAAACTGTACACATTTAGGCCTTCCTTTGTCTGGAAAGACATTAATCAAGCCCCAGTAAATGTGCATTCCACAGTACACAGAACAATATATCTAATAACCGTGCCTAGCAATTCCTTAGCCTTAATTTTAGTACTTTCTTACATTCTCCAGGCTGGTAGGACAAATCTCAGGGGTTCTTTCCTGTTAACTTCTGCTGCACCCCCCAGCCCAAAGGACCAGTACGTATATACAGCCCCACTTGTAGTCTGAATAGGAAAACACAGGAGTACTTTGAACACGGGTAGTCATGTTTCCCTGTTGTCACTTTTGTTATCGTACTCCATCGTACAGCAATGGCAGGGCTTACAACAACAGTGTTAATTCCTTTGTTGTCTGAGGCAAGCACATCACTACTCACCACAACTGACTGTCCCTTGCTTTCTTGAGCCAGCTATCTCATTCCCGTACTTATCGACGCACCAGCATTGCCCTGTGCTGCCATGGCACTGAGTGGCTTTGTAATAACCTTCTTCATTGCATCGTGGGATGAAAGCACCTGAATAAAACATAAGGTATAATCAGTCAGGCAAGCCTCTGTAGGAGCAAGCAGGTATGTAGAGTATTATAAACTTGTCACTTATTTACAAGAAGATCTTTACAATGTTGGTAAGAAAAATACAGTGATTATCTGGTGCCTAAAAGAGGGCAGAAATTATATATGATTAAGTGTTTTCAGCTGCTCTGGCCACTGCACAGTACATAAATGTTTGTGCAGGGTGATGGCACATGGTACTAGAGATGGCTTCAGTCTGCCCCTGAATGACTGATATTCCCAAAGGGCCCCTTTCAGATTTAGCTCCTGGTTTTAAACTTTTCTTCCCTAATGGATTATTACCCTGACTTCATTAATTCTGCATTTCCCTTCCATTTGTGCTTCTTCAGTGTTTATCATATAAGTCTTTCCACAACACTGTAATTATCCCTGGAAGGTATCTGCCATCTGCTTGCAATTCATGTTAATCTCAAGCACAACTTCTGCCTTACTGAGAGCTCCTATGTATAAAAGGAGAAGTAATGCATATGCTTTACAGAGAGGGACAACAGGATATGAAATCAGTAAGTCTTTGGATTTGAAGCCCAAGATTTGTCTCACAATAAAACAAATATAGTTCAGCCTTGTAGAGTGTGGTTCATCCTGGTTTCTGCAGATAGAGAAGCTCTCAGGAGAAACCTGTTTTATTGTTCCCACCATTTTTAGCAGATACAGCAAATGTACTCCAATATGAAAAGCCCTCTTGTCTGTCGAGATGAGTTAGCTTTATGCCCAGGGGAGGTCAGTACAGTCATTTCCCCTTCTTTGTCAATTGCTTCAATTTGAAACATGGCAGAACCCCACCCCTGCCCCCAAATCTCTTGTCTCAAATGATTTTGGAGAAAGTATTTTTCTCCTTTGTCAAATATAACAGTGATTCACCGGTGTAACAGTAAGTTTTTAACTAGTTCCATGTGTATAAGCATCTCTTCAGACACTTTATGTGTCAAAGAGGCTATTTCTGCTACGTTTCTCATAGAAAAAAATGAATGAGGAGGTGCTGCCCAAATGTCATGAAACTTCCTATATAAAAGCCATAAAGTGGAAGTCAGTCAATCTCATACACACACACATATCCATATAAAATGAATCCATGAATTTCCAAACTCATCACAATACAGATCTCATCTAATGCTTGAATACCACTAATGTAGGCCTGGAAGACGAGAACAGAAACCTTTGGACATCTGCAGAAGTCTCTGAGCATTGGATCAGTTTTGGAGAGCATTTTATATCCACTATTGAGAGTATTTCAAGTAACTTCAAAGCATGAGCTTATAGCAGGTTTGCTTATAGGTACCATAGTTATGTTCATGTACAAACAGAAGCATCCTGATGACTACCGAAGACTCGCTATCACTACTGACAAAAAAATGGATCTAATAACACGTACACATATTTGCCTTTGCAGGTTTTTGTAAGTTAATGTGCACTGTTCAATCCTTTATCTCAATATTGATTGAGAAAGGCTTCTTCTCATATTTATGCTCATGTCCTCTCTCTGTTGAGCTCTCCAGGTGTTTATCACTATACACAACCTCTGGAGAAGTGCTTAGGTGCTGATATGGAGATGGTGCACGCCAGCATGGCTGTCCCTGGGTCACTAGAGCTACCCGGAGCATCTTGTCCAGGGAGGAATCAAAGGGGGAACCTCAGTGGCATTACAGGGCAAGCAGAGAATGGCCTCTGCACTTTAAACTGTCTCATGCTTTCTCTTTTCCTTGGGCAATGCAACCTTTCACCTGCTTTGAAACAGGCCTTTTTTGCATAGTTTCACTGTGTTTCTTGTAAGGGATTAAAATGTTCCACACTGCCTGTAAAAGCCATAGATTTAAAAATAAATTATGGCCCAGGCTCCCTGCCAACATAACTGTGTGTGGAAAGGATTCACACTTTGGGTCACAGCGAAGAGTCGAAGGCATTTTTTCCTTCTGCATGGCAAATTTGTGCCAATTTGTATTTAACAATGAAGCTTTCAGTATTTAGCTACGCATACTAATGTCACAGTATTTGCCAGTCATTAGAGAGAAGATTACAGCATGTACTCTCCAATGTGTCAGGTGCAGGTGATAATCTGGTGAGGATAGAGAGTCACTGGGAGCAAGTGCTGTATAGTGTGATTTGTCCTGTAAATCCTACACAAATCAGCCCCTGTGTTCATTAGAAATAAACTCTGGGTGCAGGTTTTGCTATTCTGGAGCACAGCATCCGGACAACCCATTTAGTAGGAATACTTCACCCCATAATTTGGTTTGGCATCAGAGGACATATGCAGGCTTCGGAAGGAAAAAGAAGTTTTCCTCTCCAGAGGTTCTTGCACAGGTAGTGCTTCTCCACAAGCATGGAGAGGACTGCTGGGCTGGTGGACCAGTTTTACTATTAAGCACTGCAAAACGTTAGTCACTCCCCACTGAACTGCCTCAGGGTAGTGAATCCTGCTTCCCCCATCTCTCTGCCTCATGGAGTATTTAATTCCATGCAAACTTGAACAGCACTGCTGTATCTACATCCTCTTTCTGGTCCGGACCCACATCTCTTATTTTCTTGCATCATTTCCTTATCTGTATAATACTTCGCTTCCTCACAGAACATGGGGAGAATAATTACATGCTAAAGATAGCGAGGCACACAGGTAAAAGCCTGACAGAATTAAGCGCTAGCCAGCACACAGCTCCTTGTATTAGCTATTCTATTAGCTGAATTCACAGGCCTGATAGAGAAGAAAATAGTGATGGGAGCAGAAATTCATCACCTTAGTGATGTGGGAGAAGCATTATCAGGCTGCACAGTCGTATGCTCTGAAAGTACACCCTGCAGTTAATTGTACTCTAGATAAACCTGGTAGGAAAAGATGAATAGTGCTGTTTACTTTTTAATTCAGTCCCCTGGGATGCTATGCTCTATTTGAAAGCCTCCACATTAAATGTATCTAATGACAATGGATTTGAAGTACTTTGGTGCAACTGCCCTGTGTTTTGGAAAAATAGAGAGAGAACAAAATATCAAAAGTTGTCATTTTTATCAATGGATACAAGTTAACAGAAATCTTCTTCCTGTGCACTGCCCAGCCTGTAAATGCTGTGCTCTGTATGTCAGGAAAGAGAAGAATTAGGATATATTAATCTCTCTTTCAATCTTTCTTGTTGCTACAAGCCTGTTTTGAGTCACGTGTATGTTTTGGTTTCCATCTGTATGATTTTTCAGTCACTGAAGACAAAAGACAATGTTTTCCGCTGCATAAATAGCTATGAGATCAGATTAAAATCTCACAGGCAGTGCCATTATGCAGCCAGACTTTCAAGGTAGGTGAAGCAAAGCGTTCCTCTCTATATTGTAATTTTCTAGCTTGTGGAACAACCTTATGCCTGACACTTCTTGATTTGTTGAGCTTTCCCACCTTCATCCGTCATCTTTTTTAATACAGTTAACAAGAAGTTATTTGTGGTAAGGGACCATTCTCACTCCTTTTACTTTGTCATTTTACTCCTGCTATTGTGATCAGATACCACTGACGTGTGCTACAACCGCCTGAATGTTCCACTACCTGCAATATAGCCATCATTCTTCCTCGCACACCGGAACAAACCACTTATGTTTCAGCCCAGATGACATTTATTGCATATAGCAAATAACAGAAAAGCATTAAATAAATACGGGTTTGCCAAAGCTATCTGTTAAGAACTGGCCTTCTTACTCTTTTAGGTGGCTTTGAAAATCATGACACCCATGAGACAGAGAACATCGTGACTTCCATGCACTCAAACACAAATGCAAAGTACTTACTGAACGGAACACACATACAACTGAGCAATCAATCCTCCCTTCCCTCCCACAGCTATGAACAGCAGGAGCTGTAAGTCTGAAACATCTTAATCTTTATGTGAACTTGCTATGAAAGCATGATGGAATGAAACCATAGTCCCTGTAGCCTTTGGGTGTGTTTATGTATTACTTTAAATCAATGAATCCAGGTTGGGATTGTTCATAAGGTACTGCAGGTTTTGCCAAAGATGAGCTTTGCAGAAGCTCTCTTTGCAGGGTCAGTGTCAGATTAAAATCAGAGTAACCAGAGAAGCAGGCTGCAACCTGAGCAGCACTGCAGCAGAGCTGACATGCATGCTCCATGCTGCAGTAAGTGATGCTGTAAGACCCTGACATGGGTCCTCAATGATGAGCTTGAAGCCTGGGTCTGAGGTAAGCCAGGCTCTTCAAGGATGAAATGCAGAGCTTTCTGGGAGCAGAAACATTGATCTGTACTGGTATGCCTCATGTGATTTAGGTACACAAATGCACAAGGACAGAAGTTTCCATAAGATACCACCACGTAAACGCTAGGCTACATAACACTGTGTGATTTCAGACTATGGAGTTAGCTACCTTGAATTTACTCACTTCAGCAACCTGATTTTTTTAGCAATTAAATGGGAAAATGCCGTGTGGGGATTTAACCTAATTTTAGATATCCATCAGAGCCGTGTAAGTTATGAATCAATTCAGGCTCCCAACAGTCAAGAGACAGGGGAGGCCATTATCACATCCTGCAGCATGAAGCATCCTGCAGGGCTGCCTAAAAAGAGATGATACAAATTCCTGTTTTCAAATACATGGGATATGCTGAAATATTTGTAAAGGGTGAGTAGGCAAAACTGAACCCCAAGGAAATGCATGCACTGCATCAGAGCTGCAAGAAAACACAAACCCATTGTCTGTGCATCGTGGCACCTTCAGCCCCCCTTCCAACATGGAAGGCTTGAGTACCAAGCAGTCTCTGTACTTACCCTGACCTCTGAGGTGATGAAGGCAGTATTAAGCCCTGTGCAGACCAGGTTTGCATTTCTGGAGAGCTGTAAAGCAGTGCTGAACTCGTTGCCATGCTGACACCTGTTCTGTATGTTGCTATCTCATTATTTGTTTAATTTCATAGTGTCAGGCCTATACTCCATGGTGCATATTCCCGACTCAAAACATTAGTCTCTAATTGAAAAACCATTACTGCATATAAAGTTACAATAATCACAGACGTTTTAATTAGTTGAGTAAATGAATAGGAAGTAATCGAACTTACCCAACAGACTCTTCCCTCTACTTAGCTTTTGAATTCTATTCATTTCATTCTGGCAAGGAAGACCTAAAATATAATGTATAAGAATCAATTTCCAGATGGCACGGGGCAGGCTCTGCAATGACTGGCTTCACTACTGATAGGGAATGTCGACTGCTGTACACCTGGGAACGAAAGCAGCCCATATGCTGGCACTGCACTGCAAAACAAATTTATGTCATTAGCTCCACTAATTAAAAAAGAAAAAGAAGGCAACACACTGTAGCTGACAATCGTGTTTGGGGCCATTTTCATTGTGAAGCCCATTTTTCCTCCAAACTAATATAATGTCAGCTCTTTAATTTATGATTTGCTAATGATGCCTGCATAAAAAAGTAAGTTCTTGAGGTTTTTATCAGCAACAGGGCTTGTTACTAGACTGTGGGCACTGGTGCTTACTGCTTCTTTGACTGAATGATCAAGGGATATTAATATCGCTCATCTGTGACATTAAACACTGTTACACACTGCCCTTTCACACCAGTGCTGGAGAAAAGAGCTGTTCAATGCACTTGATTGCTAATTACCAAACTATCCCTACCAGCAGGTCAATCCAACCTGAAACACAGGCCGACCCAAACAACTTCTCTTTGCCCTGCCAATCGCACAACTCACCGCCTGGCTTCTGGAAGCAGTAGCACCACTCGTTGTTCGAAAGCTTTCCATCCTTGAAGGAGTCACAGGAGTTGAAGAGAGGCTTGACACATGGCTCGTACTTATCCAGATAAATGGCACTGATCTCCGAGGGATCCAGCAGCAGGTCATAGTTCATGTCAAGTTTGTTGAACATCCAGCCTAAGGAATCCTTGCAGATTGGTAGTATGCTGGTGTCAAATCCTGTAAGAAGACAGGCACACATCCCTGGCTGAACCCCAGCATGCTCACTGCACAAGAATCATTGCAAAGCTGAAGCCTCTATCATACATTTTTGGCTGCACTCTGAACATTGACCTGACTTGCCCGAAGCAGAACAAAAGCCTAAGACTGAACTGATTGCATTGAATTTAAAACCCAAGCACAGCCACAGCCCAGAGCACCGCTCACACACGTTTCAGGAGCAGCGGGGTGGGAGGCCTGAGCTCCACAACCCATCACTGTAATTCAAAGTTATTTCTACTTAAAACGTCTCATTTTTCTTCCAGTCCTCATTCCAAGTTGGCCTTGTTCCAAGAAGCTGAAATGTGATGAGAAAAGGCTTCATCCCCTATAGTTTCAAGCTAGACTACAGGCTCATTGTGGTTTAAATCCTGCTTCCCAGACCTAGTTCTAGTTCCCGGACAAAATTCTTTCTTGCTGTGCTCTCACCTTCCACCTCTGATCCCAGCTTGTCACTCTTCAAAGCCTTGCATCCCGTGGTGGACAACAAAATGCTTTGGTCTGGGTTATGAGCTATGTGGGGAAGAGAAGGAGTGAAGCATCTCTTTTGCTTGCACCACTCTGGAGAATGGCACCACTTCAGCTGCTCATGCTCTTGTATGCCATACCAGCACTACCCCTTCTGACAGTCTCCAGAATTGTACAGCATTACAGGATTCTGCTCTTCCAGTGCTTTGGAAACCATCATCATCATTAATTTCAATAGCCCAGATCCTTAAAAGACTGCACCAGCAGCAGTTATCAAAGAAAGATAAAGTTATGCATACAGATACCTACAATGTATATGAGGTACGTGTGCCAGTATTCTGCAGTCTCCACAAAACCAGTGGCATTGCCTTCTTTCATGAACATTATAAATCCATACTGCCACTGTATTTTAAAATGCTTGGTACAAACATGGACTAGTTTGCAGGTTATCTATGATGCAAGAAAGTATATTTGTAATGCAGAGCTGATAAATAAGGATAATGGTTTCACCAAGGACATGGAAACATGCATACACTGCCTGGGGATTAAGAGGGACAGAGGTACCTGAACCATGCACCCTGGGCCCCCTGCACTCACTCTGTTCCAGCTGCCTGTGCACTGCGCATTCTGCTATGGGCCACGTGGAGAAGTCTGATGGGCTTTTTCCTTTTGCTGCATCTTTCATTGAAAGAGGTCAAGCTTGGCCTTATTTGCTGTACGTGTCAAGTCCCATTTCAGGATGTTGCTTTGTTAAAGTGAAACATAAGATGCTGCTGGAATCATGCTGACAGTTTGCCCAAGCTCTGCAGCCTACCTGCTATTTTAAGTATTAACCCAAAGGAGGGCAGTGCTTTATGCTGGAAGCAGTGTTTTTTGTATGCAGCTGAAGGTTGTCAGTGACACGGAGGAACAATCAGAAGAGTTAACTAATGGGAAGGTTTATGTCATTCATAATACATGTTGCTCTAAGAAAGGAAGAAGGTAACACCGTTTCCTTGCAGCTAGAGGCAGCTGGGGCAGGAAAGAGAGAATTCATGCTGAACATTTCATCACATTTTTGTGCTCTTATCTCCTCTAATGTTATCTAATCGAGTTTGAGCACAGTGAAAAAGAAAAAGGCCATGTGAATAGACGCAAGGAGGAAGCCTGCTTGTCTTGCTGAAGCAAATAGGACTATTGACTTCAATTATTTTATTCATCTGAAGAACGCAAGCAGGATTTGGTCACTGTGCAATCTTTTGTTGAGTGAAAGATGTCATCCTTTACTTTGCCTTTACAAAGCACCAAGGAGCAGGGCATGCAGTCCTGCCTTGTGCTAATATATGCTCTGTCTGATTCCCCACCATGGGGCAGGTTATAAGCAGTAATCAAACAGGCAGGCGTGGATCATTCAATTGCACGGTGGAGCTGGGATCGGTACATGCTTCAGCTATCCCAGTTTAACAGCTTCCAGGGGAAAACCAGCTGTGCTCCACTGGCTGCTCTTTTCCTGCACAGATCCCCTCTCCAGTGATGGTCTTTACGCCCTGTCCTGGCATTTGCTGCTTCTAAGGTGAATGACTACAAGGTGTGCTGTTCAAGTTGAGTACAGTATGGGTTGTTCAGCCCTGTCTTCAAAGGTCACCTCCTAACTGGCAAGTATCAGCACAGGGAGGAGGAGATCCTCGAATGAACTTGCCCCTGACAGTGTCTGTGGATTGTTTCCGAGTCCTGTTTTCCTCCCTGCTGAGAAGTCTTTACCTGTGTGTACAACATGCATTCAGGATACATCACCAGCACGCCCTCTGCACTGATCTGCCTGATCAGTGACCGATGGGACTACGAAGCTGCTCTGTGACACACCATCAGGGCTTGAATGCAAGAGACGACCATGAAAGGTCACTTATAAAGACAGTTATTTACATTAGTTGAAGAGCTTTTGCTTGTAATTTCTTATAAACAAGGAAGCTTTCATTGGTGTGACCAAAGTTCCAGATTAGGTTTATTAAGAGGCTGAGTTATTAGTGTGGTCTGGAAGTCTTTAAATAGTACAGTGGTAGGTGTTATGGAAAGCACTTAGCTAGATGGCTGTATCAGTGAAAAGGTTAATTCTTTAGTTGTCCCTTAATATGTGGCTAAAGGTGAATAGCAGTATCTATCTTGACTTCATATTGTCTCCTGGTAAAAGCTACTGCCTGTAAATCGCCTTTTGCAAGACTGCATCTGCAGTGGAAGAGCAGCAATCCTGAATGCTCTCGGCACCCAGCAACAGCAATGAAAGCAAAGTGTGCCCTGAGTGTGCAACACAGGCTTTGACTTACTGTGTAACCAGGGCAGCTGATAGAATGTGGTTCTTGGAGCTCACCTCCCCCAGGAGGTCACTGTGCTCCCATCAACTCGGCAAGGCCAATTAGTTTTGAATGAATTAACACCTATGTAGAGGCTTTTGATATACTTGCCTATAAACATGATGCAATATGCTGGATGAAATAAACCACATACTGTAGTGTAATGAATTATGTGCTATAGTCTGGACTCCTGGCAAAACAGACCTGGAATAACAGTAACCTCAGTGAGAACTTTTCTGCATCTTTCTGTGCATCAGCTCAGTGCTGCAGCACCTACGGGGAGCAGCAGGAGAGTGCTGCAGGCTCCACATCCCCCCTGCTCTTGGCTGCTTGGCAGAGGATGCCAAAACAGATGCCAGTGTAAGTTGTGGTGGTGGTTGCTCTTGTTTGGACACCTGCTTACAAGGACCTGGACTGACACCATCATGCTCCTCATCCTGACAGCTGTTCAGCCTCCTAACAACTTCCATCCACAGCAGATCTGGAAGGAAATCAAGCCGGTGACCTACATGTAAAAGTCTCATATGCGATTAACACATAAAATGCTTCACCTCCTCTAAATTAAAATGGAATTAAATTAAAAAGAGTCTTTAAGTGGAAATCCTAATTAAAAATAAACACATCTTCCAGCACACAAAATTATTTTCCCCCTTCAAGAGCTGACTTAGATGAGCCAGCTTTCTTTCATTGAAGTGTATTACAATTAAATTAACAGGGGAATAATTAACCTGATTTCCCCCATCGCTTAAAATAAAAGAAGGAGGGGAAGAAATGTTCCCCAGAAAAAAAATCCTTTATATTGCACAGATCTCCAGTAAAAGAAAAACAACTCCCACTCCAACCAAAGAGACTATCTAGATAAAATAAGGGAATGTTAGGAATTACCAACAGGCTCAGGAGCAATTTGAATCTGATCTTACTCCCTAATTAGTTTTATTATTTCCTTATGTCAAAGCACGTCCCTGAGATGCTTCTATTATTTACTGAGGAGATTTCAGTTGTACGAAGCCTGCAGAAAACAAAGTTCCTGGCCTGTGGCGCTTTGCTGGGATCTGGGAGATAGCTCATTGAAGGAAGGTTTGAGATTTCAAGCACAATGGCTTGTCCTTATCCTTTCCCTTTCAGGAGAGTAAAAAAGAAGAAAAGAGTGCACTTTTCAATTCACCTGGGGGCGAACTTAATAAACTCAAAAAGCTTATTTACACTCACAGTAACATCTTGAAAATTTAATGTAGCATAAAGAAATCTCTGCTGGAACACCTTCTCTAGACAGCTGATGTGTCCAAGGCATCATAGTCATCGCATCCCACCATCTGTTCCTTTTACTGCCACAGGGGCATATCCAAAATGGATTATTTTGAGGATGTGCTTGCCTTTTAAGACTCTACAGGCATAACCAAACCAAGTTCAGTTTAATGAAGTGATCAGCCCTGGTGAGAAGAGCAACACACGCAGAGCAATAAAAAAGGGCAGTGTGTACATCAGAGCTTATTTCCAGAGCTGTGTGTGTCCTTTTTGCCAGGATTCACATAAATTCCTTTTTTCAGCTTGGCTTTGTGAACTTTACTTTGAATTCTGAGCCCTGTTTAAGATGTCTTTCATTGTTAGAAATGTATAAAGCTAGAAGAAGCCAAACACTGCTGTCCTTACCCTGTATTTTCAGTGCTACCAGAGAGAACCGGAGCTGCAGAATTTGGCGCATGCAGAGTAATTCATGCATACTGTTGCAAACTCTTCAAAAGAAAACCATGCCCAAGTTTTGTGGCATTCAAAACTGATTTAACCATCTTCACTCACAAAGTTTCATTCTTTTTAACTGACACCTAAGAAAATGTGCCAAACTAAGTCAACAGTCTAAAAATGAACATTGTCAAGATCAAGTGTTTAAGAGCATCAAGGCAGCCTTTCATATAAAAGCTGCCAGGAATCAAACTAAACTAAAAAGAGATAACACTTCCTCTGTGAATCAGAGCAAACACTGTGGAATTACCAGGAATGTTTTTCTCACTGAAATTGCTTCAGCAAAAAAAGCTCAGACCCAACACCTCTAGGAACTGAATTTGGTCTTTGGCCTTTGGTAAGGTCCTCAGGAGCTCCTCACAGGTCATCTGCATGAAAAACACATTCTTTTGACAACCTGATAAAATGAGATTTCATGTGGTTCTGGGCCTGAATGACAAAGTTTTAAGTCTCTGCTGTTTCCTGCCATGAGGTCTGAATTCACGTCTTGAAGCTGTGTTTAGCTGTACATCCAGTTGAATTTTTGCACTACGGTTTGGCTTCCTCTGCACAATAATATCCCTTTTCGAAGCAGCATTTAAGGAATAAGTAGGACATATGGTTTTATAGATACTGGCTTTGTTGTAAATACTATGGAAAATAAATAAGGGACATGTGAAAAAGATCCATTTGCACAGAACATGGCTTGTTTCACCACACAGTTTTAAGATACCATTACTTGGCATTAATGAGGATTGACTACAGTTTTGAGCAATATAGCCTGTGGTATATTCTGTCTCTTTAGGAAGAGGTAATCTTAGAAGTAGCACAAAAGCAGAGTGGCTGTCTAGACATGGATCAAGAGCAAATGCCCATCCTGTTGTGCTGAGCCTGCCCTACCGCACCTTTAGCCTCTCCAGGCTCAGGCTACAGGGAAACCAGGCAGTGGGGTCAAAAAAGCTGTAAAAGGGAGCAGTTGGCTGAATCCTTTAAATTCTGTGGTTTTGGACCCTGGCTTTAGTCAGCTTGTACCAGAGAATCAGGGCAGAGAGGTGAAGGGGAGTCACACACCTAGACAGAACTTGTGCATCTTACTTTGCAGATCAAGAGACCACGTATTTTGGGACATACTATTCAAGAGGATTAATGAATCCTCACAGAAAACAAAGTCTCATCTGCTCTCTGATGAACATGACCTCTTTTGATGCTGTTAGCTGAATCTTTCTGAATCTTTCCCTCCCTGGTGGGTAAACGACATCAAAATGAGTCATGTTGGCTTAACCCACAGAGAGTAAATGTCCTCTAAAATGTTCATTTTCTTCCTTCTTAAAAAACCCCCAACAACCAACCAAACTCAAAACATCAAAGGAAGCAAAGATGGTCTTATTAAATACCTGGGACACAATAGATTCTACCTTTCCACACTGGTTAACTATTCCACCTCCGTGGCTGTGATGTGGATGTTTTTATTATTCTTTCTCTTTTATAAAGGGCTAGCAGGAAATTGCAAAATAAAATCAAAGTGAATCTTTTCCGACATTGGCATCATTTTCCCTATGCTTGTATGGCACATTTTTGGCTCATGCCACTGACACTGGGTTAGAAAATGCTTGGCCATAAATTGAGGAGGTAAGCATATGCCACTGTCTGTCCCCAAGAAATGATTTGGATGCAGCCACATTGGCATGGAGGGTGATGGAGTTTAACTGTACAGACACGAACTAGTTAACCTCAGGGCTTAAGAAAAGTCCCTGAGCAGGTTTATTTACTAGCACAGCTGTGACCTCCATGGCCCTCAGACACAGTTATCTGCCTGATTAACTTGTAAAGGTCTCTTTGTCTCAAACTGCCAATTTTTAGAGCAGTTTGGGCCAGAAAGAGTACAGAATGACTGCATCTCAGATAGAAAAGGATGCAGCTATTTATCCACAGGATCAGGTCTCCGGCATACCTGCTCCCTTACTGGCACCTGCTTGACCTGACATTGTGGCACTAACAGCTGTGCTCAGCTCAATGCTCTCTCAGGCTGGAAAGCTGCCTCCAACACCCAGTGTTCAAAGGGAAAGGTGTTTTCTTACTGCCTTGTGCTGTCTCGGAGCTCGTTGGTTTGATGACACGATTTGCATCCTCATGGAGAGCACCAAACCAGTCTTTTAGTCGGGAAGCAAGATTCCTCAGTTCTTTGTCTGTGCAAGCTAGAAAAAGAACAAAGCACGAGGCTGAGTCAAGAGCAGCAGCAAAAGAAACCCCTTTCTTCAGATAGGCTGTTAGGAAAATACTGTTTATGGTTGTACAGTTCTTCTCATTAAGAGCTCTGAAGAAAAAGAAAAGGTTAGGGAAAAGATGAAAGTTAAAGAGAAAATGTAAGTCATTATGCATTATAAGTCGTCCTCAAGTACTTCCTCGGTAGCTGATGCGATTTGTGGTGAAAGAAGCGACACGGAGAGCTACCCGCAGGTTCTCAATTAGAGCTATGTGACTGTTTAACTTAAATGTTTTCACCTTTTAGGATTTCAGAGAAAAATATCAGTCAAGCAGATGGGGAGGAGGGACAAGCTTGCCTAGGCACACTACTTGAACAAGATGCTAGGGATAATTTATAACCACATTTGGCTTAGTAGAAGGCTATTATCACAGTCATAGGAAACACATATACTTATTTATATATGTGAAGAAGAAAACTGTTGTGTTGCTCTAGTTCTACTGCAAATGAGACTTTGCCACCTCTGAAGGTTGTCAATTCCATTTTGTTAGCTAGGTGAAACATTTTTCTTATACATTTTTATTGAGGAATATCTAATTTTCCCAGAAATTTCTGCCAAGACAATAACATCCAAAGCAAATAGTTTTAAAGAAGAAAACTGAATTAGTCACCAGTTTCTGTCAGAAAAAATATTCTTGTTTCTATATCATGTTTAGTACTTAAAATCCACATGCTCAATTCTTTCATCCCTGCTCTGCACTCATTCCACATTTTAAATGACACTTCTTGGAATATAGAGCAAGATATTATGCCATAGAGGCAGACATCCTTCACAGGGCAAGCCACAATATGTCTTCTCCAATTCACTGCACATTCTAATATTCCTCCTTCCACCTTATTGAAGAACAATCGAGTCCCACAGCTTGTCTTCCCCAGTCAAACTCACTGCTCCAATGACTGCAATGGACCCACTGATATCTTATGGCTGTGGGGAGTATTTGTTCTCACAGGAGTTTTTTTTGGGGGGGTTCTGAAGTTGAAAACAGGATGTTAGGGCTTTTTCTAAGTGGACAGGTTTTTAGCATTTGGTGGGGAGAAAGATTTTCCCATTTTTCTATAAGGCTGAGTTTGACAGGTTTTCCTATTAAAGATAAAAACATGAAAATCCCACTGAGTCGATATAGGGAAAGATCAGATCTTTAAGAAAAAAACAACAATTAATGGAAGACAATACAATATTAACTGTAAAGTGGCTTACATTACCAAAAAAGCTTATCTCTTGATTTTCTCAACATATTTCATTTGTTTTAAACTATCTTTGCAAGTTAAGACAAGAGTGACAGGGTTTTTAAGCCCAGTTTCAGTAAGGAACATCTTATACCGCTGTTGTTCCTTGGCTGTTATTCACAAAGCCTTTTATCAGAGAAAAATCACAACAGAAGCAATAGGAGAGCAAATTCCATCCTCTTGCCTCTAACAATATCCCATCAGGAGATGTTGCCTGAAGGAGTGAGGGGATAGGAAAACTAATTTTAAAAGGAATATCCTAATTCTAGACAGGCACAAATGATTTCTTCTTTTGTAGATTTAGATCCATAAAGATGTTTCTATCATGCACTAATTTCAACATGAGTTGGGTACCCAAATACATGTTAGAAGTGATGAAGATACTCTATTACATGGGAAGGGAGATGCTGTTCCTGCATCCCCTGTTGAACTGTCAGTAACCGGTTTTCACCAGGCATATTTTTTGCCAAAATATGATTATTAGGCACTTACAGCAACCTGAGACCATGACAATCTTCTTTTCAGTACCTGTCTTCACAAGTGTCTCCTGGTAAGGATCAATTATGTTATCGCCTTTCACAATTAAAAGCAGGCAGAATCTTTTTTTCTGCCAAGTAGCTGTCTTGTCCTTTGAAAATCAGCTTTGCAAAGGAGAAGAAGAAAAATATGGCACATAACAAGTAGGTGTTGCTCAGCCAATACCTCATCTGTGACAGGGTACCCCAATGCTCAGAGTATTTCACAAATGTATCTCCAGTCACAGCCACGCAGAAACACAGCTTTGACTACTGATTATGTATGGAGTGGGTGAAAAAGAGGATTCAGCTGTCCAAGAAAGAAATGAGCAACATCATAGTTTTATTGTGCAAACCTGATACTTATTAAATATTCATTGTAGCACACGACAACTTTAGGAAGCCGAAGCTGGACTATGAACATGCATTCCTGCGCCTTCCAGACACCCTCATCGTGCCTTCTCTGCAGGTATACTGAGCTTCACAGTCAACAAATCTCAGGGAAATGAAATAGTACTAAAGAAAGTACCCTGTAGGGCTATTTTCCTTGCTCAGATTTGCGTACTGACAAACAGACACCTCTAGACACCACAGAAACCTAAGTTGAGTCAAATGCTCGGAGCAATTCCATCCTGCCAGTGCAGATACCAGGCAGGAGCATGGAGCACACCCTCGCCTCCTCTCCCAGCCTCAGCATCACACAGAATGGCATTCCCCGTGAAAAACTAACATCTCTAAAAGGAATTTCACTAAGCAGTCATCTGGTTTCAACTGCATCGCCTGAGGTAATTTGAATCCATGCTTTTGAACTGCAGCAGAAAACAGGATTGAGTGCACACTGTGGGTGGAACAGAAGTAGATTAATTAACGGTAAATCAGACTTGAATTGATTTCTCTGTACAGTCCGGCCAATCAAACATGTCAGGATCTGTACAATGCCATTTATAATGAAGCCATTATATTTTTTCACTTGTCTGTAATGCTAGCTGTGTGGAGAACCAGCTTTTACCACACACATTCCTACTTACATCAGTTCTCTGCTGTTACACAAGTGCTGCAATCCACAACCTACATCAGCTCAGTTATACCCTATGGCTGCTCAGACACAGCACCCCTACATTCTCCTGTCATTCCCTAATTATATTCCTCTTGCTTTTGATGGAGCAAAAACCAGCTTTCAGCCTCTTCTGTGCTGTAGCTTCCTCAAAGACTGCCTCATCCACTCACTCTAAGGGCAGCCTTTAGAAGTGGACCTTGCCAACTTGACAGTAAGCCCAGAACTGGAGTTTTCTGCATGCTGGAAGGTATTTTTGTGAATAACTGAGATATTCTTTAAGCATATTGCTTAAGGACGATTCAACAGTGGGTATTCTGCTGAGGTTCTCTCTCAGGACTACATTCTTCTTCACAAGAATAACTGCTTTTTCATGAGTAAAACGGGAACCAAGTGTGCTGTTAATCTGCAGTGAATAATACATGTCTTCATGAGACTTCCAGAATTTAATGCAAACTTCAGTTAAATTTCTGTTCAAGCATTTCATGCCCTCAATCTTACTTCTTCCTGCACTTTAAAATAAAGGAAGTATTATTTTACATTTTCTGTATTCAATTTCATTTTAATGCTACCACGCATGGTTAAAAAGATTCTGCCTCTTGGCTCTCTACCAACAGAACTGCATTCTCGCTTATTGATTTTATTTGAACATCTTCAAAAGTCTCTGAAGTTGAGAATTTGTTTGGGACATTATTTTAGCCACTTCAAAGCGGATTGACATTCAGAGAGCATGAGTTTAATACAGACAGAGTGAGGCCCAGCCTCCAGCTGGGTATCCAGGAACCAGAGCACTTAATGATTTATTTCTGGTGGTAGAGCCCATTACTTACGTATCAAACAATTAGGAAGCATAGCTCTGAGGAGCCCCACATCTAAGATGCTCATATATAATTTGCATTAGTATAAGTTATAAAGCATCTTTAAGAACCCTCTTCATGAAAAATGCACTGCAAATGTACCTCTTTGCTATTAATAGACTTTTCAAGTAACATTTCTTACATGAGAAGAACAGGGATGTAGAAGGAATAGATAGGATAATGGGTCTCTTGCTATGTGAAGATCCATAAGGAGAGGATACCTAAGTTGCAAACAATATGGATAGTGATATGACTTGAAGCACTCATTAAAAAATCTAGAATGAAGAGAAGCACCAAGGGAGGAACATCTCCATAGTCCCTCTCTAGCAATTGGGATCTGTTTAGTCAATTGCCCACAACCATTTAAAACTCCAGTGCTGTGAAAAAGACACAAATGCAAACATATGCAAGTATGCATCTTCACTTCTGTATGTATTTTCCCCAAGATAAGAGAATCTGCCTTAATTTCCTATATCTTTTTAAAAAGGGAAACCCACAAGATTTTATCATTGTTACATTATCTACGTTACCTGCCATGTTCTGCCTCAGCAGCCTTCTGATACCAGGTCCCTACTTAATATTAATTCCTAGATCTTTCACTGCTGATGTGCTTCAATGAAATTCATTCACAGCCCACAGCTTCCCTGCAGGTCAGTACTGCTGCTGTTAGGAACGGGGATGGTGAGGCAGGTTCGCTAGGTAGCATCCAGCTCATCAACCTGATCGCAGTGCACAGTGCCCTATATCTGATGTGGCGGTGGTACCACAAGCAGTAGCAGAATCTGTCACTTCTCTGAGCCGTGGCAATTTGAATGCAGGAGGAAGATCTATTTGCAGCTGGCTTCAGCCAGCATCCTCAGATCTGAACCAGCAGATGTTACGAATCATCTTGCAGAAATGATTTAATAGTGAGCCCTGAAAGTACAGATTTATTCCCAAGCGTGAAGCAATTGGTCCAACAGTTATTTATTCCTAACAAACTGAAAGCACTGTTGCTAAATACCTATTTCCACCAAGCAGAAAACATTAATCTGACCTAATGGAAAGCCATTAGCATGCTGTAAAGGCTCAGGTTGTTATAGGCGTGATTCCATTATGGCCTTTTTAAGCCATACAGATACTAATCTATAACATTGGTGGTGAAAATTAACAGTAATATTTAATTTTGCTCTTTCAAAGAGGGACTTTCAAAAGCGCTCAGTGCCAGAACCCAACATTAAAACTGAACTTACCTGTAAACACATAAGATTAAATCCATATTGAAAGTTTTCTCATGGGG